GTTTTTCTGCTAATTATGTCTTCGGCTTTTCATTTTTCACATTTTCAACATTTACGCCAAAGTTGCTTACCTCTATAGGAAATTATAGATTATATGCTCCAAATTCAACTGTGACGGGTGTGACAAGTTGAGTATGAATACACAAATACACATTATTAGACAACTAAACTAACTTTATTTCTCAAAAAATCGGATTTTACGAACACATAAAAGATTCTGCCACCTAAAGACGGGATAATTCTTGATCGGACTCTTCATCTCCACTGTCTGTCTGAGTCATTGTAAAGTCACTTATTTTTTTTTAGTACTACACTTTTAATGAGGCTCTTACCTGTCAAACCGTTTTTGCCCTGACAAGTGAAGTAATGGTTTCTTTTTATCCGTGACAGCATAGCTTAAGTTTTCCCACGCTCGAGCAACATATCTTTCTGATTAACTTTATCATCGGTTATCACAAACAGATATATGATACATTTCAGATTAGCAGATAAGTAACGGTAGCATTCCCTGGCCGAATTTATTGAAATTTGTATAAATTTATATTTTAACGGGTGTAACATGTGACGGGCGTGAACTGAAAGCATATAAATACTTAAAATCAATTCGCACATATTAGTCTGTGTCATAGCGTTACTTTCGTCAGCTTTTTTACACTGTCCAAGATGTGGTTTACTTCAAAAAATAACTATTTTGTGTATTTTGTGACGGGCGTGATTCAATATATAATAAAATATTTAGTACTTTCCCGAAAAACCTGAAAATGAAACTGTTACAATGCTGACGAATTGTTCTCTCCATTGGCCGTTTAAATAGTGCAAAAAAGACAATAGACTACGAAAATCAGTCTGGCCAATTTTGAAGAAAATTAACCTCTCATATGAATTTGTAAACTGTACAACCTAAAATAAAAAAATATCCGATTTTGAGATAAATTTCGAAATTTCGGCATTTAGTCTTGAAAGTTAGATTTATTTACTCTTCCTTACTAGAAATAATTAACTCAATTCTTAAGTTTATTTTCGTCTCATTCGGTATCGATTATCGTGGAATGAGTGTATGTTTCTACAAATCAATCAATTTTTGGACCGTGTTAATGTTGCGTGTATAATAAATATATTAGAATAGATATAGTATGTATTGTTTTTACATAAACATGTATGTATATTCAATACCAATTTTGTGACAGTGGGTTTATCTATAAATGTACATAATATATGTAATGTATATTCGCAGAAAGATATGTACATAAATATATGTATGTATGGATATATGTATGTACATATGTATGTATACATACATATATGCCCGAGAATTTGGAGTACATTTGTATGGCATATTTATTCGTATTGTCGGAACAAAAACCGCTACTGTGCACTACTCTGGTTGGGTTGGGAGCATGCTGCGAACTTTTAAATACAGATGGAGCCCTTATGAGAATTAGTTCGTACAGTTTTTTAAAGGCCCATGACTCAACATAGCTGCTCGCAATCAAGTTACTCTCCCATGATGAGAGGTTTATATAGAGAATTGATAAAGCGCATGCACTTTGCTTTTTTTCGTTCAGTGCCTGGTTTGTGTATATTCACTTGCGATTAGGCTCCCACAAAATTCTAATGAATTGTATACTCAGAGATAGATGTACAATTTCCGTATGTCTGCGTTCCTTGTTGGTTTTGAATTCAGTTTCCGAATTAAATTGATTGCAAATTATATTTTTTCACATCAACTTACATAATTCTACGTCAGGGATTATGATAAATCATCTATAATCTATATTTCTCAATAGTTATGGACTGCTTTTTCGATTTTATTTTCGTTCGGAATGTTTTGAACTTTGTTTTTTTTTTTTAGATTATAGAGTACTTTTCAAACCGTAGGAGTACATACATACATATACAAGTGTCTGCCGTACTGTAAAATGAAAAGAGTTAAAATCCATGCTCTTTTTGGTCGAGAGAATGTACAGGGAGAACGACTTGCAGTATTAACCACTTTCTGAATATGTTTATGTATGTATTAAGTGTATTTAAATAGGAAATATCAAGTGAAGGAAGTACGCGCAATCAACATCAACACACACGCAAATAAACGTGCATGTACACAGCATATACGTATACCCTGTACGTGTGAATCGAAGCGACAGCGCGTAACTGCTGAAAGCAAATGTGGCCCCGCAGTACACAACTCAATATGAGCTGGGGCGGATATGCCTACTCCGCCACAATTTCCATACATACGCTCAATTTATTCCTTTATTCTCAAAATAGTCTACTTCATTCCTATCGCATGCATATGTTTATCGAATCAAAATTTTTATCTTTACTCCTCACCACTCTCGTCTCTGCTGCTTACAAAATAAAAGCAGCCACCTATTCAAGGTTTATATATATATATATATATATATATATATATATATATCTATGTATAGATCTTGCCACCTATTATTATTTCTACACTGATGGAGCATTCGGTACAACCGTCTGCTAAGAGCAACAAAGCCATGCTAGGAAAATTCACTATTTATTCACAAGTACGGCGAGTATCAAAAATTTGGATTCCAATTGCATGGCGTGTGTGTTTGTATGAATGCGAAAGTGTCCTGTTGTGCATTCTACGGTGCACGTACATGTTTACTTACGACATGGAAGCGCATACAAGTGCGATAGCACATGCACGCGAGTATACTTACGTAAATTTTGGGAGCTTGCTCACTGCCAGCGACAATGAATTTCCTCGCTAGTTGCTGTTGCTCCCGTTTGCTTTTGTTCGCACTTCGAGTGCGCCGCCTTTGAAACAGCGTGGCTTTGTTACTGCGCTGGCGCTGTTTCGGAATATGCTTGCCAGCCGGGGGCAGACACACGCTCCGTGAACGACGTGAGTAAGTGTGTTGAGGCGCGAGCGATGAGAAGTGGCATGGTGCTGCGCGGAGGAATGTCGTAGGCAGGCAGTCATTTCAATTCGATTGTGTGTTGTGTGTTGACAAAAGAATCTCTGTTTTTAGTGTAGATTTGTGCTCCGCATCGCACGGTACGAAAAACACGGCGCTTAAACGTGCAACCTAACGCCACACAACGCTCTATAGCCATTCGAAATTCAACAAAAAGTTTCGAAAAAAACTCGATGTAATTCAAGTGAAGGGCGCGCGGTCTCGCCCACAGTTAGTTTCCTTGTGTTGTGATTTTTAGAGCGTTGTGGACTTCGGATTTCCAATAAGGCTGCTAATCAGACATAAGGGCTAAAAGTCTGGCTGTTTAACGTTTTCATATTGTAACGTGAAATACAGTTTATAACGAATATTTACTCAACGGAAAGTATGGAGATTTAAGTCTATCATATTTTTTTCATTGAATTGACCTGTTATAAGAGTTCATAGGTGGTTCTCTCCAATCATAAAACGAAAAAGCACATGCAATGCAGACCACTGAGAAAATATCATGGAGTTTTTAATGAAATTATACAAATTAGTGCGTCAAGTGTTCTGATGAATTCGGTATTTTTGGTGTCAAAACTAACATATTAGAAAGTAGTAAGTTAACTAGTAAACATCAAACTTCAGGTATTCGAGAAACTAAACAAAACGCTTTTTCTCTTTCACAAAATGTGATGCCATCCACAATCAAAACCAACCTGCAACTTGTGTCTCTTCCACAACTAATTAAACATCACAAAAATAATACTATCAAAACGACATTAATCTGGACTCGGTAAAAATGACAAATACAAAAAAAATAATTAAAAATTTGTGTTTGTTTTGATCGTAAAATGGAATTTTATTATCGACACCGGCTACAATAACAACACATTATATGGCCATAAACGCCACTTGAACACATGCTCTCCCGACCACATTAATCTACAACGAATACAAACATACAAAATATATAAAAAAAATTTATTACAATAATAAATACAAAATATACATAACCACGCACTTTAAATTGTTTCGTGGGTCTGTTTCAATCCGCGAATTTATGTACTACTTCACTACAAATCGTAAACTCACGCGTTACGCCTGTTCGTACGTCTGTTCATGTGTCATTTTATGGACACTGCACCGGAATACCGCCAATAAAAATATTGTCTACACTGCAAAACCAAAAACAACATCATCAACGACTACGACTATTCATTCGGAACGATAATAAAATGACGTCAAAATGCTAAACTTTCGTTTGTTAACTATTTTTGATTTAAATGGTAAAAATCAAAATGAAAACAAATCTTAAAAAATATGAATATAAATTATTCAACTCATTAACATGAAAATCAACTGATTTGATAAATGACCTAACGGAATATCGCTGATTGCTAATGAAACATTAAAAATGTGCAAATGAAACAAATTATTACAAATTCTCAAATTAAATTTAACTAAATTAACTTCGGATAATTTATATGTAATATGCTTGAATTTGATACATGTTCCGTGTAATGACAATTTTTTCTCCTCCTGTTCGACCATACGAAACGAACACTCGTTCTACTATTACGGAATAATTCCACCACCGTCATAACTGGTTGCTCTTCGATTGCTCTCTTCATTGAAATCTTTATTTGTATGTGTGCCTGATTGTTACGGAAAAAATTAAACGTTTTCTCTCTGACTTAACAAATATCCGCTCAACCGCTCTCAATGTATATTTTGCACTCTTTGATTCCGGTCGCCGGTTTTGCGATATGTACATATATGTAAATATGGAAAAAATATACTGATCGCAAACAAACAATAAATCATAAAAATCGACTCCAATATTAAACATCAATCGGGACTGCGACAACACTGAATTGTTTTCAATTTGTACGTTATTTAATCGCATCGCCTCTTACATCTGCGCTCGCGCTGTTATCATTCTGGTCATATTCTCGCCATTCGATTAAAACACTCGGTATTGCATTTGTATAAACCGCGTTCAAAATAACCGTAATTATTCCACCCCTCCCCCAAACCCCAACCATCCCGCTGGCGTGCGCTCTCTACGACCCCCACGATGTCTCGGCAGTCGGGTCGCACGCCGCTGCCGGGGCTTGGTGGGGGCCACATCATCACGCTCCCCATCCAACCGCTACCGCTTCCGCCTCCATCATCCACCAACAACCCGCCGCCAACACCATCAATCAATTGCATCATCACCCGCATCACCACCACCACCACCATCATCCGCACCTGCAACACCATCATCACCTGCAACATACTGTGCCAACTGTTACGGCGAACTCCTCTTCTCTTATCCCAACGGCCGCCGTACTTCCTCAACAACAACAACAAACGACACCAACGTCGCATTCCACGCCCACACATGCGGTTATGTATGAAGAGCCCCCTTCAGTGCCAATCGTCTCCGCACAACAGCAACAACAACAGCAGCAACAGCCACTTCACCTGCCCCCTCAACAGCAACAGCTCGCTACCACACCAGTCGGCGGTGGGCACAGTCCCTCCCAAACGCCTTCAGGCATCGTCTCACAAACGCAGCAGCATCTCACATCACCTCACCACCAACAGCAGCAACAAACGAATAGTGTGCCTCCTGGTGCGTCAACAAGTCTCCAGCAGCAACAACAACAGCAGCAGCAGCAGCAGCAGCAGCAGCAACAACAACAACAACAACAACAAAACACAGCAGTGGCGTCCGGCCAAACTCAGATTGTTGCGCCGTCAACGGCGAGTGTTTCCCCCTCCAGTGTTAGTTCCCAACCACCAGGTAAGTTACTCTGCAAAATAATTTGGTAGGAAGTAATTCTATCTGTGGTTTGAAATTATTTCTATGTAATTTATTTAAGCATAGTTATTTTTTTCTAAGTACGTATGGGTTGTATGCAAAAGTTTATGTAAAAATTTTAGGGCTTTCCGATAGAAAAGTATAGGCAATCGAATACTACGACTATGACCTGATTTTTTCGCTATTAATTTTTCGGTTCTAATGACATAGGTAATAATATAGGGAAAAGGGTTATTACATATCGTCACTAGACACGACTAAAAACGTTAGCTCGAAAGTTGACCGCGAAGAAAGACACACTTCAACGAAGAAAGACTTTTAACATAGAGTCAAGTTTTCTCAAGTGGGCTACCCAAAGTTGACTTTTTGATTTTTTATATTTCATTGACTGATTTTGAAAGTTAACATGGTGTGCAATATTGACACCAAAACTTTTGCACTAATTTAATTTTTTTGACGAGTTATTTGCAAACAAATCTTTACACTTTTTGCAATAATTCAGCAACCATTCATTCGAATCTTATGATTTTTTGACAGCAATTAGAGAACTTATTGGGCAATAATGGGTTAGTTTGTAAGACTTCGATTCCTGTTTTGTACAAATTTGTATTATTTTAATCAATTGAATTTTTGACCAACTTCTCATATACATACCTAGGACAAAAATTCAAAAAGCATTATTAGCGCTAAACATTCAATTTCACTTTCATAAAAAAAAATACTATACCTTTGATTGACTTAAAGTTTTTTACCAAAAAAAAAATGAATACAGATGAACAAAAAAGCGAAAAATAAATTAAAAATAATTATAAAATTAGGCAATAAACCGCTTATATACAACTATATTTGAAGTCATTCGGGCGGTAATAGGGGAAAGGGGGCGAGGTTAAGAACCTGCCTTAGCGGCCATGCACAAATTCTTCTTGCTCACACTTCTGGTGAATACTATGTACTAGGGATGTTGCGAATGTGGAATTTTAGACATCCGCGTATGCTAATGCGGATGCGAATATCTAACAGCTAGCATCCACGGATGCGGATGTCAAGTATTTTTGAGAAATAATTAGAATCCAGCATAACCAAACCAGATATGTCGNTTTTAATCAATTGAATTTTTGACCAACTTCTCATATACATACCTAGGACAAAAATTCAAAAAGCATTATTAGCGCTAAACATTCAATTTCACTTTCATAAAAAAAAATACTATACCTTTGATTGACTTAAAGTTTTTTACCAAAAAAAAAATGAATACAGATGAACAAAAAAGCGAAAAATAAATTAAAAATAATTATAAAATTAGGCAATAAACCGCTTATATACAACTATATTTGAAGTCATTCGGGCGGTAATAGGGGAAAGGGGGCGAGGTTAAGAACCTGCCTTAGCGGCCATGCACAAATTCTTCTTGCTCACACTTCTGGTGAATACTATGTACTAGGGATGTTGCGAATGTGGAATTTTAGACATCCGCGTATGCTAATGCGGATGCGAATATCTAACAGCTAGCATCCACGGATGCGGATGTCAAGTATTTTTGAGAAATAATTAGAATCCAGCATAACCAAACCAGATATGTCGGGTTTTTCTAAAGCCTTTTAAAAAGAATTATTCATTCTCATTCCTTTGGCTGTTTCAGATTTTGGGAAATCTGTAACTTCATCAGCGACAAGTAAACAAAATTATTGTTTTTAAAATGTTTGTTAAAAATAAATTCCCCAAAGAGCCCCATTTGAAATTATTGAAACGAAGATATCGTCACCTGAAATGCAAAAAGACGTAACAACATCGTAAGTGAAGGCGAAAAAGTCGTGACTAATATTTTAATTTTCTTTTTTATAAAATAATGTGGGGAATTGTAATTCGATGAAATCCTTCATATAAATCAAAACATGAATTTTGACTTTTTGCATTTCAACGATGATGTTTGTTACATCTTTTTTCATTTCAGGTGACGATATGTAACATCAAAAGCAAATCACGAAAATTTTGTTAAGAATTATAGTGCATACTTTCCTCTTTTGTGTCTAGTAGTTTTTTTTTT